TCATCGACCTGAGCTTTAAAAAAACAGTATTCCTCACGACAAAACAAATTTTTTCTTTTTATTTTATGCTTGAAAACACAAGTTAAAACGAAATTTTCCTTGATATCATCTTTATTTTATAAAATCCAGTTATCCCTACGGGTATCCTCTAATTATGTACATGTAATTCAGTCGAAATTTTTCCACAAAATACCAAGAAGTTTAGGGCCCTAAAAAATAAGTTCGATAATCAACCCGTTAAATAGCGGTGATATTATTCATTTTGTTAAAAAAAAAAAAAAAGAATTGATCGCTTGTTTCATAATAAAAACCCAAAACAATTCTAGAAGGAGAAAAAAGGCCAACCAATCCCCATTCCATATTTCTGTTACTTACTCTGCGGAATTTATATTAGACCTGGCGCTGTGAAATGTGAACTGCCGCCATTTTTAAAAGTTGTGTATTTCACGGGAGGAAAATAATTGTGTTTGATTCAGAGGGATATCATTTGGATTTGTTAGTCAAACACCTTTTTAAAAGAAATAAAACTTATTTGAGGACAATATATGTGTTGACAGATGTGTAAACATTAAAAAAACAGCTAGGAAATTGGAAACTTTGATTTGTTGAAAGGTTGCCTTACGAATCAGGATCAGCTCGGCCCTGAAACGTATTCGGCCCCCGAGTCAGCTCGGCCTTATTCCAACTTATATATTTAATATTATAAGTAAACAAGTTTTTATTTCATATTTAATTGAAGATTTCAACAAAAAAAGTATCAAATGGAACACATTTGTATTATAGTAATTTTTATCGAATCTGCAAGAATAAACATAACAAATTTTTCTAAATACACATTAATTCTGCAGAAATACAATGTACAATTATATAAAAATATACCAGATATCTCTTGTTTTTCATTTAAAACAGCTGAGCTTTCTTTGATAACATGATAACATAATCGGAAAAAGTTAATACGTTTTACTTTAATATGTTTTTTATTTCTTTATTTTCAAAGTAAGCCGAGTTGACAGAAATGCCATACTTAATTCATTTATCAGATATTATCAGAAAACAATAAGAAATTGTTTGTTTTATTGTAATCATGTAAAATTTTCCTAATTTAACTATATCGAAATAGTCACAGTTTAAAAATTTGATAAAATTTTTTTTGGGGGCGGGGAGGGTTTAATTTTTTTTGAATAAACAATGCCCCAGTTTTGATCATTTTCCCCAAACTTGGGTGTATTGCAAAAAAAAGGCATTTAAATTAATTACCGGGTTAAAAACCCAAGGGTTTAGTTTCCCCTCAAGCGGGTTGGGTTTGCCCGGGGGTGAGGGATGTTATTTATTTATTATCCCCCCATGTACAGACTCAAATTTAAACCCATGTCTTTCAATTCTCTTGCAAATTTTTGTTTGGGTTAATGCTTCCGAGGGGTCCACTTTTGTTTTCCCGATTTTTTAAAATTTAATTAAAAAATTTTTTTTTTTATCAAGGGTTTTTCAGTTGGATGAATGTTTTAAATTTGAAAATTAAATTTTGTAAGTGATACCAGCGGCAGATTCCAAAAAACTTTAAAGGGGGTGGGGCCTTTTTGCTGCCCTTTTTTTTACACATGGGAAATATAGCCAAACCAAACCTTTTGTACTATACATTTGTTTATAAAAATTTAGTGTAACCCCTTTGAAAAAACCTGAAAGCTAAAAAAAATTGTTGTTTTTTTTTTTTTTAAAAGCTTTTAGGGAGCTCTGGCATACTTGAACAAAAAAAAGCAAGGGGTTTTAACCTTTTTTTTGATTTAGGTTTAAAAAATTCTTTGGGAAAGGGGGTTTTGTGGGTCATATTGTATTTTTAGATTTCAAGCAAGATTCCAAAATTTGGTTTAAAAATTCAAACCCCCTAAAATGAAATTTAAAGGGGATAGATGTGTTTTTAATTTCAAATTTTAAAAATTTTTGGGATCCCTTTTCCCCACCATTTTTTTTTGGTAAAAAAAAGCTTAAAATGTTTGAATTTTTTGGTTGTTCCCCGGGGTATTTCATATCTTTTTTAAAAAAAATTTTAAAGTTTTCATTAAATTTTCTAAAAATTCTTTTCTACATGAGCCCGACATATCGGGGTTTTAATTTTTAAACTCTTACGCTCGCAAGGGGTTTGGGGGCCCATAATTTGGGCAAATTTATCATAAAAAAAATCACCCCTTGGAAACACCCAAAAACACCAATTTCTTCATAAAATTATACAAGGTATTTAAATCGCCATAGTGTATTTTTCCCCCAAAAGGTTCAACATTTTTCTTTCCAATTTGTTTTTTAAAAAAAAGAGACCAAAATTTTCATTTACATAGTTTATGTGAAAAATGCACAATAGATATTCTTTCTGCAACTGTTAAAAATATCGAGCCATTTTAGTTTTTTTTTTTTACAAAAATAAAAAATTTTCAAAAAGATTTAAATGCCGAGGGTTAAAAAGGGTTTTTTTCCCAAACCACCCTGAAAAAAGAAAAATTTAAAACCGGTAGTTTTTTGGGCTGTGGTATATTTTTTTTTGGGGGACTATTTTTAAACGCCCAAATTTCAGTTTTGGGTTTAAAGCGTTTCCCAAAAAGGGTTTTATTTTTGGAAATTTTTTTTGTCAAAAAAACCGAACTTTCTTTATAAAAAGAAATAGGTTGTTTTAGCAAAAATTTTTTTCTATTTTGTATATAGAAATTTATTGTACACTGAAACATGTCGATTATCGTTTGGTTTTTTAAAAGGGAAAGGGCCCCCACGAAATTGATTTTATGAAAAGGGGCCTAAAGTGGTATTGTGGGCCTTTTTATACCCCCGAACAACGAAGTTGTAAGGTGGGTATACTGGAATATACTGTCCGTCCGTTCGGCCGGCCGGCGGTTTTTCCATGTCCGCCTAATAACTTAAGATTCCTTTGATCCACAGTCTTCATATTTGGCATGGAGGTTAGTCATGACTAGAAAATAACCCCTATTGATTTTGAGGTCACTGGGTCAAAGGTCAAGGTCACAGGGGCTTTGACTACAAAAAGCTTGTCCGCCCAATAACTTAAAATTTTTTTGACCAACATTCTTCATATTTGGCATGGCGGTTAGTCATGATTAGAAGATGAACCCTATTGATTTTGAGGTCACTGGGTCAAAGGTTAAGGTCACAGGGACTTTGACTTCAAAAGGTTTGTCCGCCCAATTACTTAAGAAACTTTTGATACACAGTTTTCATATTTGGGGTGGAGGTTCATCATGACCATAAGGTGACCCCAATTGATTTTAAGGTCACTGGGTCAAAGGTCAAGGTCACAGGGGCCTTGACTTTAAAAGTTTGTCCGCCCAATAATTTAAGATTCCTTTGACCGACAGTCTTCATATTTTGCATGGAGGTTAGTCATGATTAGTAGATTGCCCCTATTGATTTTGAGATCACTGGGTCAAAGGTCAAGGTCACAGGTCGGGGACTTTGACTTCAAAAAATTTGTTCGCCCAATGACTTAAGAAACCTTTGACCCACTGTCTTCATATGCGGTATAAAGGTTAGTCATGATAAGTAGACGACCCTTATTGATTTTAAGGTCAAGGTCACAGGGACCTTGACTATAAAAAGCTTGCCCGCCCAATAACTTAAGATTCCTTTGACCCACAGTCTTCATCTTTTGCATGGAGGTTAGTAGGTGACCCCTATTGATTTTGAGGTCAAAGGTCAAGGTCACAGGGGCTTTGACTTCAAACAGTTTATCCACCCAATAACTTAAGAAACCTTTGACCAACAGTCTTCATATTTGGCATGGTGATTGATCATGACCATAAGGTGATCCCTATTGATTTTGAGGTCACTGGGTCAAAAGTCAAGGTCCCAGGGAGCTTGACTAAAAAGCTTTTCCCCTCAATTGCTTAAGAATGCTTTGGTCAACAGTCTTCACATTTGACATTGAGGTTGTTTATGACTAGTAGATAACCCTTATTGATTTTTAGTTGACTGTGTCAAAGGTCAAGGTCACATGGATTTTTATTATAATAAGTTTGTCTGCTCAAATGCTTAAGAATGCTTGTCCGCAGTGTATTGATTTTGACATTTTCACATTTGAAGCATGTAGAATACATAACTTAGCAATGCACTGGCTTAGTAACCTCAGATTTGGCAGGGAGGTTGTCCTTGAGCTCTAAATGGCCGCCACTGTTGATTCTGAAAAAGTGGTATGCGGGGGTATTCACGCCATCACAGTGGCAGTTCTAGTTTTACACGATATTTAAACACAACATATTTAGATAACTACTAAGTATACTGTGTGTTTACAATAATAGGTAGAATATTTATAGGTAGATCAGTACCTCTTAATTTTCAAGCTGTTGCTGTAATCACCTTATCAATCGCAAAATATGCTAAAAATGATAAAGGTCTGTAGAAATTGACATACATGAACAAGTTAACAAAGTTCTGTTCATTGTCATTGGTGATTCTTTTCTAGACAGGTTGTGTTCCTCTGTATTGCCTATTCCAGATAGATAAATGATAGAGCTATCTCTTTTAGAGGTATACGGTAAATCGCACTTCCGCTACTTCCGAGCTAGTGCATGTCGCTTAAATCAGGTGTCAACAAAGGGAAAGCGGTCGTCATGTTTTACATATTTAATTAATCCCTTCACCAAATATCGAAATTCAAAGAATGCTATACCATGTAGATTTGATTAAAGTTTCCAGGAAACGTAAAATTGATAAATTTGTGATTGATATGAAGTTAAAGCGGCGTTTCCCAGTTAGCGAATTTGGCGTTGAAATGGACTGTTTCATCATGAAACACATTTTTTGTCCTATTTTCATCTAAACAGCGATTCAGATTAAAAAACAAAAACGTTTCAAGTAGATAAAAGGTCTAGAAATCAAATAAAATTATATTATAAAATTTTTGTACATTTTTCTCAATATTGATTTTTATTTGAAATATTTTGGCTCATCTGGAGGCGTGCAGCTTTAAAGGACATGTATATCATTGTATTTTCTTTCTACAGAGTCTCACGGTCAAGAGTTCTGTGTGGCTGACAATGAAAAGCAAGACGAACAACATAACAATGAATAAAAAATGAAACAATGGAGATGCCATCATCGGTAAACATGATTTCTGTTTTTTAATGGTTTTCAGATTATATAGAATATCGTAGGATTACACGCTTAGCTATTGTAACCTATATCTTTATATATGATTTTCTTACATTTATCGTATAAACTTCATTGTAATAACTTTGAGTTAAAGCATGTCTAAATAACCATAAAAAAGTATATATATATTTTTTTTTTCTAAGAAAATTTCATATCTCGTTTATTAAAACAATATATTATAATTCACGTTACAGAAGAACTGTGATATAACAAGGGGGCATGAACATTACCTCTGTCATATATTGTTATTAGGACAAGCGTCGCCCATCGCATTGAAGGCCATAATAGAACGAGAAAAGAAAAACTGTGGTAAAGATATTGGTATTTTGTTAAATGAGTATAGAGATGCGTTTAAAACCGGGTACGAAACAGAGTATCTTCAACTATTTCAAGAAGATCATGTCAATGATGACATTGATACGTGGGACACTCTTCAATTATGTGCTGTGACATTAGTTTTGTTTAAATCAGATCTAGCGGGTCCAGAAATTAAAGCCATTCAATATATATATGATCAGAGAAAAGATATTGAAAAATACGCCAAATGTGCCTCCTTATCATTTAAGACCTACAAGGAGAAACAAGATTTAGTGCACGAGCAATTACTCGAGTTGATAAAGCTTATAGACCAAAGTGCTAATTATAATTGTAAACGTATGATGTATTCATTTGAGCCTGAATCGATGAATTTAAACGAAAGTCAGGTATGCAAACTTACAGGTACAAAAGATGTCAAAACTCATCTTCAAGTTGCAATTGAAGTAAATTTCGAAACACAGAATACACTTACTGGCGAAGATAACACTCAAGTGCTTCAGACAAATGGTAAGTATGTGAATTGATTATGCTCCCCGAAAAATTTCGGGGGAGCATGTAGTCGGTGCCTTGTCCGTCTGTCCGTCCGTCCGTCTGTCCGTCCGTCCGTCTGTCCGTCCGTTGTCTTGTCCGGAGCATAACTTGAATACCCTTGGAGATAATTTGTTTAAACTTCATACGGTGGTAGAGGTCATTGACGGGGGTGCAGTGTCAAAGAACCATAACTCTATTTTGCCCGGTTTTTGATTTATCTCCCCTTATAGAAAAATTTTGTCCAGGACATAACTCTAAAACTATAAGAGATATCAACATGAAACTTTGTAGGTGAATAGAACTCAATGGGTAAATGTGCAATGCATGAGAACAATAAGTCTTATTGTCCTAATTTTAGAGTTATTGCCCTTTGTTAATTTTAACACTTTAAACTTTGTCCGGGACATAACTCTAAAACAATAAGAGATATCAAGATGAAACTTTGTAGGTCGATAGATCTCATTGAGTAGAAGTGCAGTACAAAAGAACCATTATTCTGTTAAGCCTCATTTTTGAATAATCTCCCCTTTTAGAAAAATCTTGTCCAGGAAATGGATGTAAAACTATAAGAGATATCAACATGAAACTTTGAAGGTAGATATATCTTAATGTGTAGATGTGCAGTGCACAAGAATCATAACTCTGCCTTGCCTAATTCTGGAGTAATTGCCCTTTGTTTATTTTTACTTTTTGAAATTGTCCGGGACATAACTTGACAACCATTAGAGATATCAACAAGAAACTTTGTAGGTTGATAGATCACATTGATTAGAAGTGCAGTGCAAAGAACAGTAACTCTGCCTTGCCTAATTTTGGAATTATTGCACTTTGAACTTTTCCAGCGACATAACTCTGAAACTACAATAGGTGTACTTTCCTGTGTCAAAAACCTATTCGGACTCGGGGAGCATCACCCGGCTCAAACCGGGCTCTTGTTCATATGGTTGTAATGTATCCCAATTACATTACTTCATCTGCAAGTTGTCAATATGCATATATCTAACGCTTTTGCAGAATAACTATTAATTTTAACTTATTTCTGCATCCAATATCAAAATACTTGAATGGGTTTTTTTCTGAATTTGTATTTGGTATGATCCAAACTGATTAAATTCATACCCAAATCAAACAAAATACTTAATCTTTGAAGAAATCTTCTAATTGGCATTTCAAAATTGATCTTGAGTATCTACGAATTAGTTTTTCTTGATGTCTTGTACTTATTTGTTCATTGAATTATCAATGTTGTATTTTTCTTTCAGAGTTTAAATTTAAATGAAATTAATCATTTAGTAAGTCATAAACAATGAAATATCAAATCGTATTGATAATTGCATGCGCAGCGTACAATAACTTGATTTTAATGAATTATAATCTAATGAATAAAATACAATATACTTCAGACCAAATCTTCATTGAAGAACTTCAGAACAAGAATGTCTATATCAATGATTCAGTCGTTTTAAGATGTAAACTTGACACTCCAGTCGGTGATAATGTTGAGTGGAGAAAAGATTGTAAGCTGATCAAAATTACAGACAATATGGTATTCATGAACAACCATTGCACCCACTGGTTAGCGATAACACAAGCATCAGTGGAAGACACGGGAAAATATTCGTGTGTATGTGGCCATATTTCAACATCTGCTGATCTAACTGTTATAGGTACTAAGTTTTATTCAAGTCATCAATAACAATACTCGTGTAATTATTCTATCAGTATACTTGAAGGTCTCTGGCCAAGATAATGCATGAAATATGAGAAAAATGTGATTTAGAAAGTCTCATAAAACTCTACAAAAATTGTTCAAATTATAGTCCTTTGGTCAAAATTGGTCTCGCCCCAGGTGGTCATATATTTTCCTTTAATGTGTATAGTAAAAAGCTTTAAAATCTTCTCCTCTGAAAGTGCAAGGCCTAGAGCTAAGACATTTTGTGTGTAATATCATCTTATGAAATTCCACAAAAGTTGTTCAAATTGTAGCCCTGAGGTCAAAATTTGCCTCATCCCATGGGGGTCATTTATTTTCCTAACATGTATATATTAATAACTTTAAAAGTCATCTTCTCTTCTGAAAGTGCAAGGCCTGGAGCTTAGATATTTTGTGTGTAGCATCATCTAATGAAGCTCTACAAAAATTGTTCAAATTATAGCCCTGAGGTCGAAATTCGCCTCGCCCCAGGGAGGTCATTTATTTTCCTTAAATGTATATAGTAAAAAGTTAAAAAGTCATATTTTCGGTTTTGTCAACGACTAGAGGTTAGATATTAGGCATAGTACAGTCCCTGGGGACCTTTTGTGTGCAAAAAAGGTCCATGGATAAATGTTATTTCTAAGTAAAGCTAAATGTTTGAAGTTTACAAAAAATTTGGGTAGACATGTCAAATCATGGTACGTTTTGAGAAATCCAAGATGTCCGCCAAGATGGCCGCCAAATTTTTGAAAAATGGCTAATACGCATTTTATCTGATAAAATTAGTTCTTTTTTGTATCTATTTTAGTATAAATGATGTAAGAACTTCACATCCTATTGGAACAATATGAAAATGGAGGCATTTCCATTATTTATTCATATTCTCTGAATTTCATAGAAAAATTGGCAAAAAAGTGCATGAAAAAAATATCAAAAATTGATATGGGGCTGACATTTTTTCCTACGAGCTAAGGCATAGCGGTGTAAATTAGTATTTTTACCATATACTACAAAGACGTGAACAATATCATACTAATATAACCCGTATTTTTTATCTTTATTGTAAAAGAATGTGGATTCTGATATTCTTAAAGTGGGTGGGATAACAAAAATTAAGTCTCAGTATTTTGTTAACTAGTTTGTTATGATAATTTAAACTATGAATAGTCAACATGTATTGCACTTTGGCATGTACCTAAAGTTATAAGTAATTAAGAAACTTAGACTGATATTTTGTTTATCAATATTCAACATATTCTGTTGCCATGGCAACGGAGAAGTAAAATGAAAGACACACCTGAAACGTATTACACTTTCAACTTTTAGCATTTTAAGCATGTTAATAAGAATGGCATGATTATACCATACACAAACTTAAAGATAAATAATCTGTGCACAATGCCATGGTAACAAATTGAAAAAAAATGTAAAAATAAAAGAAGTCACATTTAATTCTAACAAGTTATCAACACAGACCACAGCCGATATTTTGAAATTAGATGAATAAATTTATTTCAAGAATTTGCATCATGCATTTGCTTTTTTCAAACTGCTATACATAGAAAATGTCATGTCAAATGTGCATGTTGTTATGTTTGGAAAGGATAATTGATGGTGATAATAATAAGTAAAAGGCAGTCTTAAAGTCGAAATGTATATAAACATTATCTTATGAAACTGTACATAAGGTAAACATTTAAGACTTTGTAGCTAAAACGAGAAATAAGTAGGTCACTGGTTCAAGTTCTAGGTCAACCAATATCAAATTTTTATGACAATCGAATTTATTGTTGAGTTCAAACTTTTTATGTCCCCACAAAGTGGGAGCATATAGCGTTGCACTTGTCCGTCCGTCCCGAAATCTTGTGAACGCAACTCCTCTTAAACCGGATGTCAGATTTTGCTTTAACTTCCAAGGATGAACAACCTTAATGTGTAGATGGTAGTAGAGGAAGGAATTTTCGCTGCGACCAAATTTAATAGAATTATGGCCCTTTGTTGATTTTTTCACTATATACTATGTAGAAATTTTGTGAACGCAACTCCTCTTAAACTGGATGGCAGATTTTGTTTAAACTTCAAGGGATAAACAACCTTGATGTGTAGATGGTAGTAAAGGAAGGATTTTTTGCTGCGACCAAATTTAACAGAATTATGGCCCTTTGTTGATTTTTTTCACTATATACCATATAGTGAACGCAACTCCTCTTCAGATTTTGCTTAAACTTCCAGGGATGAAATTTTTTGTAAACTTCAAACATTTAGCTTTACATTGGTATAACATTTATCCATGGACCTTTTTTGCACACAAAAGGTCCCCAGGGACTGTACTAGCATGAAACATTGTTTAGTAGACCTCTACCAAAAACTGATAGTTGACCTATTTTTGATATTGCTTGACCTACTTTTTTGTTTTTCGACATACAGACTTGAAATTTGGGGTGTTATTTCTGATGCTGAATTGGATTTTGATAGCAGCTATCATTTGACCTACTTTCTTTTTTTAAACGTACATACATGAAATTTAGACCAAGGGTGTAATTTGTAAGCTAAATTGAATTTTGATATCAGCTGACCTACTTTTGATATTTTTTTATATCATTTGACCTACTTTTTTTTTTTTTTTGACATACAGACTTGAAATTTGGATTTGTCATGATGCTTGTCTAAGTAATTGCTTGGATGGGTTCGAACATGGGTCATCTCGGATGAAAAACTAGGTTACAGGAGCTAAAAAATAGAAAAATCTTGTTAACACTCTAATGGCTTTTGTTTTGATTAAAATATCTTGGAAATTAGTTATAATAATAATAATAATAGTTGACCTTTTTTGATATTGCTTGACCTACTATTTTGTTTTTCGACATACATACTTGAAAGTTAGGGTGTAATTTCTGATGCTGAATTAGCTCCTGTAACCTAGTTTTTCATCCAAGATGACCCATGTTCGAATAATAATAATAATAATATCTTTATTTAGTAAGACATGTTGTTTTGATAGATTCATTTGAATATGGGTCACCTGGGGTCAAAAACTCTTTCACACAGCCAAAATACGGAAAAACCTTGTTGACATGCTAGAGGCTAATGTTTTGATTCAAATATCCTGGAAATTGGTCATAAAGGTTGTTTTGAAGATTTCTGGGTCAAGTTTGAATATTGGTCATCTTGGGTCAAAAACTAGGTGACACAGCCCAGATATGGAAAACATTTGCTAACACTCTAGAGACTACTATTTTGAACCAAATATCCTGGAAATTTGTCAATAAGGAAGTTATAATGATTTCTTGGTCAAGTTCGAATATGGGTCACCTGGGGTCAAAAACTAGGTCACACAGCCTAAATATTGGAAAACCTTTTTAACACTCTAGGGGCTACTGTTCCACTCCAAATATCCTTGAAATTGGTCAGAAAGGTTGTTATTATGATTTCCAGGTCAAGTTTGAATATGGGTAACTTGTTTTCAGAAACTAGGTCACACAGCCCTTATATGAAAAAACCTTGTTTACACTTTATAGGCTACTGTTGTGATCCAAATATCCTGAAAATTTGTCATTGTAGAAAGGCTGTTTTGGTGATTTCTAGGTCAAGTTCGAAATTGGTCATCTGTGTCAAAAACTAGGTCACACAGCCCAAATAAAATGAGATTGAGGCTCCATAATTAGGTGAGCGATATAAGGGCCATCATGGCCGTCTTGTTGCACTAAATTTTGGTCTACATCATCAGATGAAAATGAATATGAAGGCAGTTACAAAATCTTTAAAATCAATGAAATCTATATGTGCGAACATAAAAGCCAAACTTTATCATAATAAAAAGTATTCATGTTTGCTCTTGTGTTCTAATCATCTAACTACCAATTAACATGCGTATGCATTTATTATACATGCACTTGATCTATTAGAATTCATTTAACTGATATGGGGATTCAAAATGTAATATAAATCTATCAATTATATTTTTATCCAACAGATGAAGCATTGAGTGTTGTCACTGATTTGCCAGTCAAGTCAGAAGTTATTGAGCATGGAAACATTGATATAGAGTGTAAAGTGAACCTGCTAACGAGTAAACCGGTTTGGCGACACAAGGGGAAAATTTTAGAATCTTCTGATAGATACGTTATACTAGCAAAGGGAACTACACACAAATTGACGGTCATGAATGTAACATTTCAAGATGAGGGTGAATACACAGTTGACTTTGGAAAGGTCTCATCTAAAACAACTTTGATAGTACAAGGTTATTATATCTTAAGTCTATAGTTTATATGCCATAATATTGCTTAGCAAATAAGTTTTACTTCCTTCTTTTATTTTTTTTTAATTATTTCTGTTTTTACTTGACCTTATACCCTTATCCACCAAGCTGATTGTCATAACACATTTATTGATACTAGTGTATAATTGATATATTTAATTTATGATAAAGGTTTCCTATTTATTACCAGTTCAGTCATTAAAATAATGAGTGCCACTTTCTCTTCACACATTGTCTTGTCAAATGCCTATTTTATTTATTTATTTTTTATTGGTTGAAATTTAGGTGATAAAGAAGTTCTACACAGGAAACAACTTATAGAGAAACTATATAGAAATTGGGTAAGAGGGGCTCTGGCATTAAAATACCTGAAAGTAGGTTTAGAGGCATTTTCTGACAAGGCCGTGAAGAGTCAACATGATGATATAGTGTCAGCACTTAAAGGTGCATGCAATTCTTGTACAGAGAAAAGTCTTATTCCACATAAACAAGATCAATGTCCACGCCGAAAGAAGCATCTATGTCTTTGTTCCATAAATACAAAAGATAAAAAAGATAAATCGACAAAAATGTGTCCAAATGGAGGATATTGTGGCAAATTCTATGATCGAATAGCTTGTGATCATCGATTTCAAGATCCATTATTAGCGAACACCGATATCCAGAAATGGAGCAGTGATCCTTGGAGTGTTGCTACATGCTTTATAAATACGTCTGGCTACAAAGACAAACAATCGGCTAAAGACGTTGACTGCTCAGGCCTAATAAGTTTGTGTATAAACAACATTTACATAGACATAATGCTTGGAGAAGTTATCATAGATCCATTTGCACAGGTAAATTTAATGGGTTGGTAAGTAATCACGTAGTGTTATGTTTCACTAAATAAAACAATTATTACATGCACGATATAGCCTGTATTATGCAAGTAATTTATTTCCTTTAGTGACATAAGAGCGTATGAATGGAAAAGTATGCTAGCCTTATATTTTTTCAATCTAACAAAACAGTACTTTATAAAATATTAAAATTGTAAAGCTATAGACAAAGGCATAATAATATTAAACAGTCATTAAAAAGATGTTATATTTTGCAGTAATCACACCAAACACAATATTTACAGAGTTTATTGACTAACGATACACATTTTTGTAATTATATAACAATATCACGTGGCTCTCTGGCAGTCTAGAATGACATTTTACAAACTGAAGATTTTTTTATAGGCACGGGAAGCGCGAAATGATATTCTTCACAATCCAAACTATGAATTGTCTGAAAATCAACTTAACAAGTATATAAAAACATTTAAGGAAGTATTAGAAATCAAGGACAAATATGGCAATACACCGCTGAAAGGGGAGCCAGGCGTAGAAGAGGCATTACATTTATTAGATATGGTAATTGTCCTAAAAGAATTATATAGTATTTTAAAAAGACATGATTTGTCTAATGGGAATTCAATTACTTTTATTCGATTGAGTATTTTTAAGATATTTAACTTTTGTCAAAATTTATGGGAAATGAATTACATTTCTATTTAAATGTATCAACTAAGAACATATTATTTCATTTTCTTATGTTTGTAACTTATGTCTGTACATGAAGGTTATGTTACGTTACTTGAAACACATTTATCGTCTCTTTTAGAACGATCAAATATTCTTCTTCTAAGTTTAGTTAACTATCCTGGTATTGTCATGCAAAATGTCATACAATTTTGATGGGAACCAAGATATTCCAAAAATAAATCCACCTAGATTGTTTAAGTGGGTAAATTGCACTCAACCGTGTAAAACTCAAATGTATGAAATGCCAACTGCAGTCCTATCATAAATTTCTTACAGGTGCAGCAAAATCAGATCGAGATAAACCTTGAAGACGAGGTTAGACAGCTGAGAGAACATGGGATGCTTACATTAGAAAAGAATTACCAAACGGCAAAAGAACAGGCAAGTCTTATTGTTAATGCATTTAAGTATTATCAAGCTTTTACGATAACAAAAATGTTTTGTAGTCTCTAAAAAACGTTCTAAAGATCTTTGAAAAATACTACGACTGAGAAAAAGATGTTAAACATATCATTTCTGACTGATGCTTTTTTTATTTGTCATTTTTGCATGTCTGTGTAAACAAACATGCACGCTCATCGAAAAATAAATTTATGCGAACAATTCATTCGTGAGTAGTAGAAAAAGAATACAATTTAAGAATGACACAATAGTTTTATTACGTTAGCTTTTATGGTCATAAACTTTTCTTAACTTATGACTTTTATCTTAGGAAACAAAAGGTAGCATTAAGACAGGGATATCCGTATTTTTCGTTCGGTGTTACGTTAATATTCTCCTTGGTCTAAAAAATAAAGGATTAAATGAGTAGCAATAAATGAAATATAATTAAAATTCAGTTTCCTTCTTTGTCACGTTTATGCATGATAAGCTCATGATTCCCATAAAATATATAATGTAACACTTTTACGTTTTCTTTCTTCAGCATGAATTGAAACTTCAACTGATAGAACAACAGATTAAAGGTTTGTCCTGGACTTTTAATTTGAACAAATAAGCGCTTATCCTTAAAGCTACACTAAATAAATATGTTAAAATATTTTTGCCGTCGGCATAAAAACCAAGCATTCTACAGTTTCATTAACCATTTTAACAGTATCGTTGTAAATCTCATCAAATATTGTTCATAAATTAGGATTTAAAATGGAAAACCCCACGGTAACACTAAAGTTCGTATACGAATTTTAAACATGCAAATGAAGACTATAATACTGTGTATTGCGCTACGCTCTACGGTGTTAGAAAGTTGCTATACGGAAAACACAGACAAATATAAGATTTTCTTGTGCAAACCACTTTTTATCCGTTTAAGCTTCACGTGCACGAGGACCTGTGGTTCAGAAAAAAATTAATATCTTTCATAAAACAGATTTAAATTTTTGTATGAAAATATCCGTTACAATGCGGAAATATTACTGTTAAAATTAGGATTGCTACTTATAGTCATGTTTGTTGATTTAATATTGATGTAGGATGATCCAAAAGGGGAGTTTTCTAATGCAAACAGAAATTGTACTACCGGATAATTCGCCACAATGAGGTTGCACATTTGTATGCTCATTAAACTCATTTTGGTTGTCTGGGCACCAAAATAAGATCTGGAGTCGATATGAAACCTAATTTATTAATGAAATGTCCCTATTTCTTTTTTATGAAATTTATTTCATGTAACTTTAAACGATATAATCTTGAAGTTTGCAAAATTTGGTTTATTTACTGCTTAAATACTTAGTAGGTGATTAGCACTTGATTTGGATTTAAAAGTAAATGCTATCGAGAAACATGTAACAGTAAAGTTCAAATATTCTGTATTCGTTTGAAAAGAATGACTGTTATTCTTTTAAATTGCACAAATTTATATGCATGTATTAGTTTCTTTTAATGTTGACACTGTTGATTTGAGATTAAAACTACATTATGCCACGGACTTATATTAAATCCGTGATTAAGCATACTCTAGAAAAGGTTTTTCAAACATTGTGATATAGATATGCTCGAATAAAATGTATGAATAGTAAAAAGAGAATACGGAATTGAAATATGAAATGATGCTCCTCTTACTTATTTTAGAAAAGAAGTGTTTGAGAAACTACCTTGACACTATAAAAAGTTTATATAAATCAGCTCAAACAAGAAACATTTCTTTAAAGCTAAGTGAATGCTTCCAACATGATTGTATGAAAGAGAAATGGAAGTGTATGCCTAAAAAGCGGATGGCGCAGAAATGATATTATTGCTTGCTAAACGGTTAAAAAACAATTAAACTTATAATATTATATATAGTATAATATTTTGTTCCGGAACATTTTATTATGTTTATGTACAATATTCATGAGTGATAATTAACAGAGACATTTTATGTTAAAACTTTTTCGTGAACATAGTATTATGGAAACAACACACTTTTACTGTTGAATAATTTTATAAAAACATTTCATAAGAAATAGCTTTATACCCTTTAAGACAAACATTTTATTCTATAGAAGTAATTATAATAAAAATCATCACGTTCTCTATATTATATCGTGCTTGTAAAAGAATAATCAATGAGTACTTATAGTAAAAATATCTATATTTTAAAATGATTAGAGATGTTTCAAGCTTTAAAAAATGTGCCCAAAATTATTTTGATGCTGTGTCACAAACAAATGTTTGGGCCCTCAAAATTTTCTTTTAAACTTTTTGGTCGATTTTAATTTTTCATTCTTAAAATAGGGCTCGCATTACTTAGTGAAGCATTACATGATATTTCCGTAACTGCACAAGTTGTGTTTTATTTACAGATAAAGAAAATGAGCTTCGGCTGATGCAAAATCTTAAGTCTGCAGGAACACAAAAGGATCCTAAAGGTATTTAATGAAAAGAAATACTGATTAAACCGAGTATTTAAATACGTTATCAATGAGGATTTCTTAACACTGAAAATAAGACAAACTGAAAACAGCTTTAGAACATAATTGGTATGTAATACATTTTTTGTTGAAGGAAAAAATGAAAAGTACTCAAATGGGTTTTAAAAAACTATATTTGCTAAAACTTAAAAATAAAACTATAAATAATTTGAAGTAAAAAAACTTCTTTAAATTTTTTAAATT